TGTATACAGTTTGTTTTTGATTGTCTCTTTCCACCTCGACCTAAATGTCATCCCCCCTCCCTCCTCTGTTGTTTCCGTTATCAAGAGCTCTTCTCCAGGCTGATGTCGTGCTTCTGCTTGGAGCCAGGCTCAACTGGATTCTGCATTTTGGTCTACCACCTCGATTTGACCCTGATGTCAAAGTAATCCAGGTATGTAAATGAGCAGGTTAAATATTTTTTTGATTTGTGTACAATCAGTGCTGCATTTGAGACCTTCTAAAATAATATTCAGGATACCTTACTGCTTTAAAGCTAATGCTCTATTAATTTACCGGTGCTGCAAATGCTGTGCTACAATAACACAACACAGTTGCGCTCTGTGTGCAGGTTGACCTTTGTGCTGAGGAGATGGGGAACAATGTGAGGCCCGCTGTTGCTCTCCTGGGGGACATCATTGCTATTGTCACTCAGGTACATTAAGTGCAACTCAGTCAGACTCAGCACACAAACTCTCACATCTTTGATGCATCTCTCTCTTTGTGGTCTTTGTCCTGAGATCCTGATGTGTTTTAAAGATGTAAAGATGTCTTTGATTCACTGTATTGTTTTTTCTTCCTTCAGCTCCTGACGTGTGTCCGTCAAGATGGTTGGAAATATCCCTCTGATACAGAGTGGTGGAACTCACTCAAGGACAAAATTGCAGCTAATGCAAAAATATCAAAGGTGGGTTTAGACTCATTTATAAAAAGCTGATGACATTAATTTAATAGCCAGGTATTTCATGTATTCCATTTAGATATTGTTATTATTTATGCAGTTTCACAAGATTTTTGCTGTTTGTCTCCCCAGGCACTCGCTCTGCAGTCAACGTTGCCCATGAACTACTACACAGTGTTTCACCATGTCTCCCAGCTGCTGCCACATGACTGCATCATTGTCAGCGAGGGAGCAAACACCATGGACATAGGCCGCACTATGTTGAACAACTACCTACCTCGACACAGGCAAGGCAGTCTCATTGAAACACAACTGTGAAAACGCATATTCCATAGCGATTAGAAAGGAGTGTGAAATAACAGAGGCCTCATACAGTGACTATGTTGCGGGAAGGAGTAACAAATCAAGTAGTTTTCCAAATGCACCTCGAAAGGATGAGTGACCCGATCTTACTGTGTAAATGTTTAAGCCCCTCTCATCCTCTTGGGAGATTTTTCTTTAGCCCTTTCTGTGCAAATTTTACATACTAACAAATCTTCAGGTATATGCAGTTCATACAAAACACAGCAAATGTACATTTTCACACTGAAGCAATATAAATATAGTCACTGTTGACAAGTAGTTTACTGTATTAGAGTGGTATTTAACTAAGTCTTTAAGCCTCTGCACATTTTTTGTAGTCTGTGGTTAGCTAATCCTGATGATGTGCAGGTTGGATGCAGGCACATTCGGAACAATGGGAGTAGGCCTTGGTTTTGCGATAGCGGCAGCTGCTGTGGAGAGGAGCGAGAATAAAGGCCGGAGGGTTGTCTGTGTGGAAGGAGACAGTGCCTTTGGATTTTCTGGCATGGAGGTTGAGACCATGTGCAGGTGGGTTTGCTTACCCCCTCTCTATGCAGTGTATTTGATTCAGCCTCCTAGTACAACTTGATTTCACAATCTTCTTGTTATTCTCATAGGTATAATCTACCTGTGGTCATTATTGTGGTCAATAATAATGGTATATACAGCGGAGTGGATCCTGAAACATGGAAAGAAATGGCAAAAATGGGAGATCTGACCTCTATGTGAGTCAAGTGATCATAATACAGTACGTTCACTATGATGGTTTCCTCCATGTTATCAGCTCTGACGTAATGAGAGGTATCTCATGTTGCTTGTCAGTGCCCCTCCTGTGACCCTCCTACCTGAGGCACGCTATGATGAGATTATGACAGCGTTTGGAGGTCGGGGCTTCCTGGTGAGGACGGTGGAGGAGCTGTGCAACGCCTTACAGCTTAGCTTGACTGACTGGGAGAGACCGAGTCTCCTCAACGTTCTTATCGACCCTTCCTCCGACAGAAAACAGCAGGTAACTGTCATCTTCATCTTCATCTTTTGTTATGAAGTCAGATTTAGTCGTGCATCTGAATGGGTTCTTCAGCTGTAATGACAGGCCGGATATCTTAGCATCTATACTGTGGAAATGACACGCCCCCTGGTGGTCGAGGATGTTACTGATGCTGCACTGCTACTTTTCACCTGATTAAAACACTGTTGTCAAATTGGGCTTTCTCCAAAATTCTCATTGCCCCAATCAAGGTGGCTAGGACTTTACCTGTCAAAGGTGAAATTAGACATGCTACTTAGGTCAGTTAAGAGATGGCACCTCCTGGGACAAACGTTGAGGACTAGCTTCAGAACCAGGATTACAGAGTCAAGATGTTGGCGTTGGTTATGGCGATTGAGATCTTAAGTCTTGTCTCATGCCAATATTTTATCCCTTTGCAGCCGAGTGCTCTCGCCGACTTGATGTGATGCTAATGAGCACTTCAGACATGTGAGAGTGTGCATAACCAAAGACTGTACGTTAGGAGGGGTGGACATTTGGATTCAGGCCCTGTTTCATTTTATCTGGAAGTAAGACAGACAGAAGATGCACGATGAGTGACACTGACAGTCGCAGCTGTAAAGCCAAGAGTGATTAAAAGTGGAAGCGTTTGAGTTGATGATTAGTGCAGAGCAACGAAACAGTTTGGTGTTTACTTGTCTTTTTCTCATCCTCATACTGTTACGTGACTGACATGCCTTACTGAACAGTAATCCAAATGCTCCAGGTGCACTGCAGAACTGTTGTATTCCCCTCACAATCCCTGCACCTCACACCAACCTGACCTTTCTATTTCAGGGTCCCCATAATTAGAAAGCATGGCCCTCTGTGTTTATGTTGAATGTATCCACGCAACCCTTCACAGACATGTTTTAAGGTTGTATTGAGGGCCGTATCCATGGTGCTGAACCCCATGGTGCTGAACCCCATGGTTGTGCACTCTGTGGCCAGCAGAAAGACCCCCTCCCTTATTTGACGTGTGCTGCCGTCATTGTTTGTCTCCTGACTGTTATTCACTTCAGTTGGAATTAAGGTTGAGTCTTAGATAATAGTTGAAGACAAAATATTCTTTGTTCCTTCACAACTACATTTCTGAATTTGGAGGTCAAATGGATACCAGCATTCGTCTAGGCCACAAAAGGCCCTTTACATAATTATAATGGCTCTATCATCTATGGCAGTTTAATACAATGCTGTGTTGTCTGTATTTGCAGGAGTTTCCTTGGCTCACACGCTCCAACTTATAGAGAGAGAAGTGCTTCCTCCTTTATCCAGAACATTATCAGAACAGCAGCATTTTCCTCAGGACACTGAAACTGGGAAAATATGAGGTTGTTTTTGTTTTTTGTGATTGTTTCTGTGAAATAACTGAATATTTTTATTGATTCCTACAACTCAGTAGTGATACATTTTACTAAATAATACCACAATAAAGTTTTTTACACATTATACAATGAACTTTATTTCTTCTTTATTTCTTCTTCTGTCAAGTCAGTCAGTTCTTACGTATGGCTGTAACTATTACTCTAATGATTAATGTCGTGATTAATTGTTTGACCTAGAAAATGTAAAAAAAACCTATGAAGTATACCTTCACATTTACCTAATGCCCAGTGTGACATTTTAAGATTGCTTGCTCTGTCTGACAAAAGTCCAGAACTCAAAGATATTCAGTTTACAATGATATTAAAAAAAAGGACAAATTGCATCTGAAAACAGAACCACAGACAGAATTTTCTGCTTACTAAAATGACTCAAGTGATTCATCGATTATCAAAATTGTTGTCAATAGTTAATAGATTTTCCGTCAATCAACGTATCAATCAATCAACTTATCATTTCAGCTCTACTCCCACATAATAAATGTAGTAGGTAAAGTGATTGTACTGTATATGGCTTATCAAACCTGTCATCCAAAATGATCCAGTGCAAACACAAATGCAAATGATGGGAAAGTGAAATCACATTTTATATCCACTTGGTGTTGAAATCCATTTTTTTTTTTAAGTTTCTAAATTTGCATTTGCATTTAGATAAATTCACACTCTCCTTTAATCTCACACCTTGTCAGGGACATCTTTAAACAAACAGAAGTGACCATCTTATGCAATATCTACTTTTTTTTTTTATTTCAGTGCAGTGACATCTTTGCAAAAATGATTGAGTGCGATCAGTTTCATTAGATACATGTTTGTGTATCAGTATATGGCTTCATCACTCACTCAGTCTCTTGCAGACCCAAATGATGCATCTTTTTCATTTGTGCATGAGTAGTAGATAATTTCCATATCATTACAGATGAAGTGCTCTTGAGAGGTAATGTTGTCTGGATTTCCAGTTGTTTTTTTGTTTGTTCTTTTTACAGCTCTCACATCCCCCAAAGAGCCTCTTTGGAAATGCAGACACTTAATTTTGTGGGACAGACTGGGCAATAAAACCAATCTGTCCTGGCCTAAATGGATACCATGATGCACGGTGGGATGCACACTGCATACAGAAAGATGTAGGAATCTATATAGACACACAGAAGATTGATACACTTAGGAAAGTTGTCACATGATGCACAAATGCACTTTTACACCTTCAGGCAGCATCCTATTTGAATCTCTTGCAGAAAAACCCACTGTGGGTTAGTCTTGTCTCCCTGTGAGAGGAGTGGAAACAACAAAAGGCACCCCCCTGCAGTTGTAGAGATCTAATATTGGCACCCGAAGCAGCTGGCGGGCTGTCTCCTGTAATTTTAGCGCACACTGATGCGGAGGAAAGATTTAATGGGCATTGGTCGGCGTACCCTCTTCTGAGGGCGTAAAGGAGACAGAGCAGAGCGAGCAGAGAGGGAGGGGAGAGGACAGTGAGGAGAGAGGGAGAGAGAAAGGCAGCGTGTGAGCGCTGCTGTGGCTCAGAAACAAAGTCAGGCAACTATCTGGAGCAGCATGACTCTTCTAACACTTGGATTGTATCTGCCACTGTGGTTTTGTTATGGCCTGGCCCAGTCCTCTTTTCTGGACAGCTTTATTTCATTCCCAGCAGGTAGGAAAACTCTATTCCTGAGCCTGTATGTGTCTGTCTGTGTGTAGGTGTGTATATTGTACTGTACATACAGTGTTATGCATGCACAGGTATTCAGGGAGTTGAGCTGTAAAAGCATGGGATTTATTTTGAGCTCAATATGTTAGTAAAATACACTTGTTTTTATTTTCTTGTCGCCCATGAGGTAGACTGGAAATGCCTCTATAAATAGCGAGACCAGCTCCAGTTCTTCAGTGAGAGGCACAGGCACTTCATATCTGTGTCCAGCTTTAGGAACTCTGCTGGACGGGTGTCATGATTTGATAGTTTGCACCTGTTTCCCTGTCACTTATGCTGCCCCTGCATGTTCTAACCTCTATGCTTTGTCCAGGTTTTAACTGTATGTGTGGGATATTTGTTGCATCACATGTCCCTTATATAGTTGCCCGTGCATGTCCATGTGTCATGAGTTGAGCGTTTCTCTGCTAATTTTGATGAAGAGGTCAGGATACGCCTTCAGTTGTACTGTTTGACATCTGGCATCGCTGCCTGTGTGACTGACTGCTTGCTCACCTTGCACAGCTCTCAGACCCCAGGAGCAGCAGAAGAGATTCAACCCATGCTGTTTACTGAGTCCACCTCCACCCCCACTGTTTCCTCCACCCCCTTCACTTTGGCGCCGCCACGCTCATGTGAGTCAAAGTCATGTGACTTTCTATTGTGGAATATCTGACCGTTAACATGTCCTTGGGTGAAATCCAGGTTGCCCTGCTCTTACTGTCTTTTGACCCCTGAACAAGGCTGTTAAAAATACTCAGATAGTGGAACATGTTTGTGGGAAGAAATGGCTTAACAAGTCCTTTGCTGTGAGTTATAAAATTTTATGATGAGGATGTGATGAAATTCAGACATAAAGTTCTTTGACAAACTTTGTAAAGTCAGTAAAACTCCCATTGTCCAAGAGTTATTCAGTTGACACCCTTCTCTCCACTTAGTATTTGTCAAAGCTGTAAGATAAACATTGTATCTTATTTATATTTTTTATTTTACAGAATGAAGGTTTTTCTAACAATGGTGCTGAGTCTGAGCTGGGCAATGAGCATAAAGGTTCTCCCTGTGTCCGAGGCCTCCCTGGGCCTGCAGGTCCCCCTGGACCTCAGGTAGGATCCAGACTCTTCCCAAACATCATTATCCCAGCATTAATAATGTACCATAGATCTGGGACCTTGGTATTTTCGTAACACAATTCCATTACCTCACGCAATTTTTCTTGAGTAGGATTCACTGTCAGTTTGGCTGAATCACAGACTGTCTCTGCTTCATGTTTGGGGTTTGCATAGATTTAAGGTGTTAAGATTTAGTACTCCAGCAACATATTACCCCTCACCTCCTCTCCAACTTGAGAGTTCCTGCAGAGCAGCGGATGGGGTTTTCTCTGGCCAATGCAACACAGCAGCCCATTAACGCTTTACATTTAGCTGAGACACAAATAGCCTTTTTCCACTGCCTGCCAGTGCGCCACACATCATTCTCAGAAACTGTCCGAAGAGCTGTCTGCCTGGAAAGGAATACTGTGTCGCGTAAATTCCAGGGATTACCAACACAAGCATGTGTGCGTGTGTTTGTGTTCTCTGGTGATGAAAGATATGAAGACATTTTGGTTCAGTAGGTTCTTGTAAACCTAACCTCCTCCCCTGTTAGCCCAGCGTTTCATTAGTGAAAAGCAGATTTACCAAATGATTGTTAAAGCTTTAACTGTGTTTGCCTGTCTCAGGTTGTTACAGCACCAGCTGGACTGCAGCAGCATTTCAGTATATCAAAAGAGACCCACAAGGCACTTTTTAAATCAATAGTGGCCACTCAGCCTTTAGCTAATTGAAACTGCAGCTGTGGGCCTCCAGAAGCAGACATGACTTTGTGGTGGGATATCATGGACAATAAAACTAATTTAGGTGGCTATCTCTGGCATTTATAAGCGTATGCTTTGCATTTATTGTTTTTTTATGCTCATCAGGGTCCACCTGGATTACCTGGCATAGGGGGGCCTAAGGGAGAAAAGGTAAGTTGTTTACTTCCCCATGTTCCAGTCTCATCTCATTTATTTTGGTCATTATACATTCACGCACATTCAAGCTACTCATTATTTTGTAAGCTAAAATCGAATTGACCTGTTGCACATGACTGAAAGATGCTTGCTGGAAGAGTATTAAATGACCGCTGTCCGTGTTCCCTCCTCCACATCCTGTTGTCAGGGAGAAATTGGAAGACCTGGGCAAAAGGTGAGAGTCTCCATTAATCACTCCATATTCTCCGCTAAGTGGATTTACTCAAAAATGAGATACAGTGCCTCCGCCTGCTTGCTAGCTGTAACTCAGAGCACTGCCTGCGCCTGGTTGTGTGCATCAAGAAATTGTGAGCAAGTGCAACCTTGACAGGAGACAGAACAGACACATTGACAGGATGTGAGGGATACAGAGCTGCTGAGACAGGCTGTTTTGTTAGCAGAGGGGAGTTAACATGCTGTTGATCTCCTCTCACAGAGGGGGAACATATTGCCTCCCTATCGACCCCTCAAAGACATCCAGCATCATGCCTCCCTGTCAGATGGCCCTCCCTCTCTTTTACAAAAGGAGAATGAGGGCACACCGCTTTATTGAAAGCCCAGGGTTTGATCACCGCAGGCAGAAGAGAAGTGACCTCCTCCATGATCAGTCACTGTGGTTGAGCAGTAAAAGCAGCCCAGTGGGAGAGCTTCACTGGCTGGTGGCCTGACCGAGCAGCTTTGCAGCACTGCGGTGCAATTTAGCTTAGTGCTTCAGCCAGGTCATAAATCATTTTATTTCCCACAAGCACGAACTCTTGTTCTATATACAGCCCATCATTTAATTAAAGAGAGCAATGTGACAGGGCTCGTTAAAGTCATTTTCCCCCTACATGTGCAGCCGTGTCTGATAAATACTATAGCAAGCAGGCTGTCAAACAAGCATAAGTGACCATGATTTCATAAACAACTTCTAACGGGTTCTTCAGCTGTGGCAGCAGTTGTTTTATTAACCTTTTATAAACTATGTCTGTGTCAGATTATGTGTTAAAATTGATTTCTTCTGATAGGGTCGGACAGGTCCTCCTGGACTTCCTGGGAAGCAGGGACCAGCTGGATGGCCAGGACCAAGTGGGCCCAAAGTGAGTAAGTCAGACCTCATAACGTAGATGATATAATATATGACATGACTTGAGACCAGTAAGTGCCAATATACACGGTGGTGTAGATGAGCGCAGTTTTGATTTGTGTACCGATTTGTACAATGAAATACTCTGTTATGTAACATGCAACCTTTTCCATACACATGCTTGATTGAAACTGTACAAATGAACCTAGTCTCCACTCATTATGTCTTCTTTGGGGTGGAGTAGTATTTGGAACATGTGTTCCCAAAAATGAAGCCAATCCACATTTGCCTGATGTTTCCTGTGTCAGGGTGAGAAAGGAGACCCGGGGCTGATGGGTTTACCTGGAGCCAGAGGACCAATTGGGCCGAGGGTATGATCTACATACAACCTATGCAGACGACACGTGTGTGATCTCCTCTTTCGCATTATTTTGTTTCATCTTAGATATTTTGTATCTTTACTCTAGGGTTTACCTGGGTATAAAGGTGAAAAGGTATGTGGCCATTTTTATTAAAATCATTGAGTATAACATACACGTTGAATTTTATTGAATTTACTTTTGCATTTAAAGTATATATTGTGTAACACACTGTGTTCTGCTCCATCAGGGCTCTCGAGGTGATCGTGGTGAGAGTGGAGTGAAAGGCGACAAGGTGGGCAAACTGCAAATGTTAAAGCAGACCTGTGTATATGTACTGTACACTGTACAAACTCTGTTATGATACTATCATTTACTGTTCTGTATCCACAGGGTGCAATGGGTTTCCCAGGAATGCTTGGACAGAAAGTGAGCAACACATTCAAGAGAGCAGAAGTTGTTAAGTTAATTTGTTACCCAGAATTACAACTTTAACTCAATGTTGAGTTGATGTGATTTTTCACCCAGGGCGAAATGGGTCCAAAAGGAGAACCTGGAATCTCAGGAAACAGAGGACCCACTGGCAGACCAGGGAAGAGAGGCAAGCAGGTGAGGTGTTTGTGGGCTGTATTTGTGCCTCAATTCTGAGTGTGTGGTGGGACATTTTGCGCACAGAAAAAGATTTTAATAAGTTATATTTTGTAGAGAAAATACCATAAGAATGCAGGCCAACTTGATAGTCCACAGAGGAGAGAAACTTGACCTTTTGATCTCTGAAACATTCTGTAAAGAAATGTGACTTTGTGTGTTGTTTTGATTGTGTGTCAGGGAGTGAAAGGGGACCCAGGCAGTACTGGTCCTATGGGACCTGCAGGCCCACAGGGACCTCAAGGCCACCCTGGTCCTCCTGGTTCACCTGCCACAGGTGAGAACCTTTACCTCTCCTATTTTCCAAGAGAGCAGAAATAATCCTCCCAAGAAAAAAACCCTGAGGACACTGAAAGGATGTTTAGTCGGCGCAAGAACTCACATCCTTTTTGAAGGGATTGGTTTGCGTGTAGCTCTGCACTTCCTCTGTTCTCTGAGAGTGTGTGAAAAGCTGTGCTACCAATGCGAAGACAAGAAAACATCCCTATCAGCAAAAGGAAACACACTCTAGACCAGTGTAAGAGGTAACACCGGTAGTCTTATTTAGCACCAGAGAAATCTAATCTCCTGAGGTGAAACAAGATGCTCTCGTCATGACATCATGTGGCTGAAATGGGTTCACAGATGGCAGGCCTCCCTACAGTTTTACAAATATTATGTCACCACATAATTAAAGTGACATTTGTTATCTTGATCAGGTGTCTGCAAGAAAAAAATTGATTGTGTTTACCTCTTGATAGATGAACTAGAGATACTACATGTACTTTCACACACTACTTTCATGACTTATGGTACTTACATCAGCTACTGTACAGCGTGTACTCTCAACAACACCTCCCCTCTTGAGCCTGCAGCATTCTGTTACTTGGCAGTAAACATGTAGCCTGTAGTTGCCTTTTGGAGCCTTTGTACACAGTGATGACTTTTCTCTCTGCGTATGTTTAGGTCTTTACATGGTTGGAACAAAGGGTGCACGTGGTCCACCAGGGCCTCCTGGAAAGTGTAGCTGCAGCAGCTCTGCATTTGATGATTATTCTTCCAGAGGAAACTATCCCAAAGTACCAGCGGTGAGAATAAATAGTTCCTGTTGCAGTCAAATGTAAAAGGTTATGTACAGTAATGTGTGCTGTTTGTTATGGGGCTTATACATTCAAGAATGTACAGAATCATTTGAGACATCTCTGAAAAAAATGTTAAGGATTCTTAACAAAATCTAAAATCTGTATATATTTAAAATTAATGATATAATGCAACTAGATGTTATTTTGACTTGTAAATTTTTGGAAACCCTGGGGTTATTGGGTTTTAATAACCTCTGAGTTAATTATTTAAAGCTAAAAAGTATTAAAAGATAAAAGTGTGCCTAGTGGGGAGATGAATATTGCTTTGAGACGCATATTGCCAGCTGGGATATTAAATTTTGATGCTCAATATCTCAAAATTGCACACCGATGAAACTCGACCTTAAAATTCAAAATGCCCTAAGTATTGAAAACATGACAGTAAACTCTTTCACTTTACCTTTCATACAGATATTTGTTGTTAGCAATGAGGAAGAACTGGAGCGCCTTCACACTGATAACGCTCTTGCATTCCGCAAAGACCAGAGATCGCTCTATTTCAAAGACATTGATGGCTGGCTGCCAATCCAGGTATCACAGCATGCACCATAATCTCATTTTATCTTTATATTTTCTATATCTTCATATATTTTTTTTTTTTTACACACTGTGATTATACAGTCAGTTTTTTCCTTCCTTTCTAAATTTTTTAAACTCTGTGAAAGACTTTTCCATTCCAGCTGACACCGTTCCAGTCCATGGAAAACGCACCTGATGATGAAGGTTACTGCGGTGACGGGATAGTGCAGATTTCCAGTGGGGAGGAGTGTGATGACAGAAACAGAGTCGTCACTGACAGCTGCGTCAGTAAGTCATGCGTCTATGTTAGGTGGTCTCTGATAACTCCTTAGTTGTACTTTGCTGTGCACATATAACGTGACCCCTCCACCCCTGCTGTCTCCCCTTACCACAGAGTGTAAACACGCCTACTGTGGAGACGGATATCGCTATGAGGGGGCTGAGGAGTGTGATGGAAAAGACTTTGGATACCAGACATGCAATTCATATCTTCCAGGGTAAGCACAGTTTACAACTATTTGTGGATAAAACTCTTAGCTACAATAAAAGACAATTGTTTTGTTGACATGTAAACTGACCTGAGGGTGTTTCTCCTCTTATTTGCAGGTCATATGGTCACCTCAAGTGCACACCATACTGTGTTATTGACTCCACAAACTGCAAGTACTTCACTTGAGGAGGAGGATGGACAGTGCAGTGGGATCCTCTGTGTGTTGTTTCTCTTGACACATAACAGGAATATTTTCATGCAAAACAAAGAACAATAATGCACCAAGCAAGAGACTCTGAAGGAAGAGGAAGCCAATGATTCTATGACGAAAGAAAATCAAAACATACATAAATATAACTCCTCTGTATTGCTGCTGAGATGCCACGTAGCTCCCCGGAGTTATAGAGTCGGTCAGGGGAGGCGAAAGCCTTAACCCACACATAGGAAATGCACAGGACAACTGCAATCTGTCTTAACAAGCAGGACTTAAGACTGGCCTCCTCTCCACGCCTGATTGGACCGGAATCAGCCTCTAGATGCAACAGTTGTGTGACAGCCATGCAGAGACTTAATTAAGTGCCAGTGGGAGATGTTGCAGAGGAGCAGTAACCGGGCCTGAGTCATATTAATCTTGACCCAGTTACTGTTGAGAAAGAGAGGCAGTAGGACATCCAGAGCCATGGCCCCAGGTATTCTACTGCACTGAGAGTGACAGTGCACAGTATTTGCATGAGGCTGGGATTACTAAGACCACGACAGTAGCTGTCACTATCCAAGCATGTAACCTATCCGTTTATTTATTATTGACACAACAAGGTTCGTATTGTATACTCTCAATATCACATCACTAATTTCAGTCATACAGGTAAAACCAGGCATATAGTAAGATCAATATGTATGGTTAGAGATGGAGATACAATTGTGCATCAATTGTGCACTTGTAATATTTCAGTGAGTCTGTTATACCAGGAGACTGCACTGAGGAGTCTCCCAGCTCCTGGGAAACTTCAGAGGCTGACTGGACATTATTACCTTGTGATGGTACTGTACTTGACAGGGACATCCAGAGTCTGGACAAGGTTTCATTAATTCAAAAACTTCTCAGGAACCAACAGGTAATGTAGCTCCACACAGCACCTTTCACAGGCATCCTCCACTACTCTCTTTGTAAATCAAAAGGCAGTGACTGTACACTGAGGCGCACAGGTAACTCAAACAAGAGCTTTTAATGGATCGACAATGTGCAGTCCTGTAGGTACGATCGAGTTCCTTCCCTGTGCTCCAATGAGAAATGAAATATACTGTATGTGAAGGCTTGAAACTGTTATGTTCTTAATTTTCTCACTGCACAGGAAAGGCTGGAATAGTCTGTAGCTGCTAAAGGGGGAGGAATCTCAATTCCAGTCTGTTCTATGGTCATTACTGTATTTACTCTAATACCTCTTTATCCAGTCTTTCTGTCTTACAGTATATACAGCAACGGAGAAACTCAACAGTAAACTTAACAGTGTAGATGTAGTCTGCTGTGTGCTGGGCACCGATGGTGAAAATGACTTTGCCGATATAAGCTGACATTTTCCATAAGCTACTGTATGAGTCGCAGTGCCAAGGGAGACCTTTTCTCAGCCATACTTAGATGTAGTCAGGTGTTATAAAGTGATTCATCTGTAAAAAGCAATCGAAAGATAAAGACTGTTACTATATAGTGTCCGCATGCTTGTGATACCGTGCTAATGACTGTGCAACGCTTCCACTTTGCCAAACATTGTTTTGTTAATCATCGCATTCATCAGCATAGCGGGTGTCTTAAGAAATGTCAGCCTTGCTCTGGCCAGAGTGTAGCTAAGTACTGTATGTGTGACACACCTTATATGATAGTGATGAACTGTGCCATGCACAAAGCTGAAATACCATTTGGAAACTATGTTGAATGTTGTGCTTGTGGCCTGTGATGCTGTGATGTATCCTGTACTGTGTATGCACAACAATGTTGAAACATAACATGCATGCGGTAACGTACTGTAAAGCTTTATGAAATATATTATTCAATGTGACTGGGATAGTGAAAGTTCATTTTGTGTCTTTATTCTGATATGATTTATACAGGAGTTGTGGACAGTTTTCAAAAGAACTGAAAATAAAAAGAATTGAAATCATTCGCTCTGTCTTCCATATGCGTCTTCACATTCTGGTCAGGGGTTTGTCAGCAGCTTTGCTTCCTCTCTGTTGTGAGCAAGCAGTGACAGTGGGGAGCTGTGCAAAAAAGCCAACAGACAGTGATAGAGATGCTATTGACGTTCCCTCAGAGAACAGCTCTCACTGTAAAAAAAAAAAAAAAAATGCTGATATCCATCAAATGGAAAAAAGATGCTGTCAGCAGCTCCTTGCAAAGTGCTGTGTTAGACTTAAAAGTAAACAGACCACAGTGAACTCTTGCTGTTCTCTCAGACATGACAATAGGTTTTCAGCTTTTCATTCTGTCTCTATGAAGCCCCTCTGAGCTGAGTCTGCGCCTGGAGATGAGGCACAGCGATACAGCTTTGGGGACGGGCATCCAGCCAGTGTTGCAGCAGAGATGTTTGAGGCTCAATGCAATCATATAACCCTATTAGCATGCTGTATTTCTTTTCTAAATCACATCAGGACAATTTGTCTTCTGAGATGTCTGAGTAAAAGCTTACCTTGGTGTATTTATCCCATCACATGCATTCCCCCTAACCAGGCCAATCAGATTTGTACCACAGATGTCTCAGTACAGCATTAAATGTCACTGGAGATGCAGTGGGCAACCTGCTTCGTAATGAAAAGATCTGCTGTGCAGACAGAAGAATCCCCTAAGTGAAGTTTTCTTTCTTTTTATGCCTTATCATACTATGACTTTTTTATGTTTTACCATAGTATGACTTTTTATGCCATACTATGCTATGATGTTTTTATGACTTACTATACTATGGTGTTTTTATGCCTTTCTGTACTATGATCTTTTATGTCTTACTATACTATATTTTTTTATGGGGCAGCAGGGTGGTGCAGTGGTTACTGTCATCCCACAGTGAGAAGGTTCTAAGGTTCTATACAGAGGAGTCCTACATGAGTGCAATGTATAAAGGGTACCCCGACTTACCTATATCCACCACCTCACTCCACAAACCTTGTTTTAAGTTACTAAATTAGCACAAAGTCACGAATCGAAAACACACAACAACCAGCAGCTCCAGCAAGCAGAGGGAGAAAAGAAGTGCCCACAGCACTGCATGCACAGTCCTTTTGTATGAGGAGGTGATTAGCTGGTCCAGGTGCACCCACACTCCACAGGTGCAGGCCAATCAGGCTGATTGCACCTGAGGACAGACAGAAAGGGAGAGAGAGAGAGAGAGAAACACTCACAAACACAAATGCACTTTTCTCAGCCAGGCATGTAACAGTAAGGTATAAAAATGTCATGAAAACATCATAGTATAGTAAGGCAAAGAAGTCCTAAAAATATCATAGTACAGTTAAGTATAAAAAGTCATGAAAACGTCATAGTATAGTAAGGCAAGGAAAAGTCATGGTACAGTAAGGTAGAGTCACCAATCAACCTAATTGCATGTATGAGAGTACTCATGCAGGCATAGGGAGAACAGGAAGTGATATACATCGATTTTGGCTTAGACTGGCGGACAGTTTGTTTCAAAACTCCATGTGTGTAAATTTGACATCCACAAGTGTAGAATTGAGATCTGCAAATGCCTTTTTTACTTCAATAATAGAAAATTGATTCACAAATGTCTGTTTGAAAGTTGTAAATGTTAGGAAGATATTCACAGATGCTCTTCATATATTTATAAATTAATTGAATGTATTCAGATATTTTTTTTATTTGTGGAATTTGTTTGAGTATTTGCAAATCTGTTTTACATATGCATGATAATTATTTGAATTTGCATTTGTATTTTTTGTATTTGAGGGAGGTGCTTTATTTTTACATATTACACATTTATGCACGGATTGTCAATCTGTTCACACAAATAATACTGAAACAAATCTACTTCCATAATTTTCCTGCTCTCCAAGAAACTGTTCACAAAGTAAGTTGTAAGAAGCAGGCTCTATTTTGAGCTGTCACAGGCATTAAGTTGATGAAGTGAAATCAAACACTTTTTCCAACAAAGGGGTTATTTTAGTGCAGGTTGGCTGGTGTAGCATTACAGCTGTGGCACAAGGGGTTGATGCAAAGGAGGCCACAGGGACAGGAAGCAGGCAGCGACCCAGCTGTTGGCCCAAGCCAAGTGAAAATCCCTGACCTATAGGCAGGAATTACTGGCATGCAGAGTGCTGTGGTCCTGGCAGAGGACACACTACTGCTGCACATGCAAAACGCAAATTTTACAAACACAGCAAGGTAAGCAAAGGTGTTTTGAAGCTTAAAGATATATAACTATATTACTTACTCTTTGATTTGTTTGATTAACAAGAAAGGTAGGGCCTAATAAATAGAAACATGTTTATTCTACCTCTGGGCTCCTCTCTGATGCAGAATATAAGACATCACATTTGACTGCAACATGATTGAACACACACTAAGACATCTCAATTGTTTATTAGGTAAAAATCAAATAGCATCTTATATACAGTCATAGAAAAAGAAACAAATGTTTATCATATTACAATAGCATAGTTTCAGGATTAACATTGGAACAGGAAATTGGCCTATTGCACTTCCGTGCATCTGTGCAGTTTTTACTGTATGCATTCCTGAAAACTCAAAAGAATTTTTTGAATAAAGTTAAAAATACTATGCGGCATGTCTCAGTAAGAAAAGCCCTATGAGAATGTTCCTGCTTTGTTCGAATGGCTCAGTGAATCTACGGCCACACTTTAACCTGGCCAGGTGGTGTCTTACCACAGATTTTTTTTTTTATTGTTGAATTGACATCATGTAGTATTAAAGTACAGCTGGTAACAACACTCAAGTACATATAGAACAGTGCATGGACGAGATGGTTAAAAAAAAAAGCTGAAATCTGTAGAGCAGACTTGCTGAAGGTTACTGTTACATTATCAGTACATAGATTAAGGAAAAGCGATGTCTTCACAATCTATTCCCTTTACAATTATTAATCTAATTCAAGGCCTTGGCCTAGATTCAGTTTCCATTGGCACCTATGTTACTTAATACATAAAACCATGCAATCAATAAACATGCTCTATGGATAGAAATGTCCATACATTCATACAAAAGCCAGACTGAAAATGATCCCCATGACATTAATGTGAACTTTATAATTTAAGACATAATAAATAGTCATTGTGAAAATGCATAGGTTTGTGCAGAGGTTGTCCACATAAATATTCAGCAGTTTTGAGTACTTTAACAGATATACTGTATTATTTAATTCTTG